GGATTTTTTTTTATAATCAGGTGGTTCGGGCAGTTTGAAAGTAAAACCACAAACCAAACCAATTATATCGGTTTTAAAATTTTATAATCCAAACCAACATAATTTTACATCGGTTTGATTTGGTTTTTAATTAAATTAGATCAGTTTAGGTCGGATCAATCGGATTGGATCGGATATGAACACCCCTAATATTAACATATATATTGGATTTGTCTTTTAAACTTTAATCCTTCATGTCTTTTCTTTTTATGAAGGTTAATGCCTCTTCTTTTAATAAAGATTAATACATTTATGAAATTATGAATTTTAAATATTGTATAAGCATTATATATTTGATATATATTTTAATTCCACATATATAATCAGTAATCTTTCTTTTTTATTTTCTTGAGATTAAAATGAAAATTGAATTATGAAATGAAAATTAATGTTTAATAAATTTTTTCCAATTAAATAATTAATTAGTATTAAACTTTGTTAAAAAAATAAAAAAATATAGAAAACTTTTAATTTTAATTTTAATATTTTAAAATTTTGATCTATTTGACCCAATCTGAAATTCATGTACGTAAGTCATGGTCTTATTCTCTTAATATAATATTTGAAACTAATCAATCCAAAAAATTTGAGATCCAAGATAAGCCAATTCAAACTCACGTAACCTGACCTATTTGTCAGGTCTACCCATCCCTATCCTCGTCATGCGTCAGTCCATTCTCATATTTTTGCATTCGAACTTGGGTCTCCTCTATAATCTTTACCCACGAAGCAATGGGCTTTGCCTTTGAGCATTTTTAGGTGCAGATTAGATTTAAATTATATTTGATATTTGATTTTAAATTTTTAAGTATAGTTTTTTAAATTTGATAACTACTTAAATATTCAAAAATCTATATTTAATATTTAACTTAACACATATTCGATAACTTATAAATATATATTTATGTACTTCGTTTAGGAAAAGAAAAGGTTTAGATTAAGATGCTTTACTTTACAAATCACGACTTATATTCCTTACTTAACTTTTATTTTTGTTTTTTATATTTTATTATTTTTATTTGTAAGAATTATTACTATAATATAAATATTAATATAATAAGTAAATATAAAATTTCAATTATATAAGTATAAATAATATGTTAGTTAAATAAGTCAGTTAAATAAGTTGAATAAATAATTTTAAATCTCTATATTTATTATTTAACTTGATATTTATAGGTATATTATTTTAATTATTTGAATAAGTATTATATTTGAATTGTAAAAAAATGATAAGTAATAGATAAGTATTGAGTATTACTTACCTATTTTTTTACAATTTAAATATAATACTTATTTAAATAATTAAAATATTTATAAATAGAAAATATAGTTTTTTAGGGGTACAAACAGGGGCCTAAGCCCAATCATCAAAAGATTCGAGAAAAAAAACTTTGTTTTTTTAAATAAGTAGATAGTAGAGATTGAATTATAAATTTATGGTTAAAAATATAAGTAAATGTGTATTTAAAATTATTGTGAGATACTATGATTATAATTATGGTTGAAAATTATTTTAGTATTTGATTATTTATTTTTTAAAATTATTATAGAAAACATATGATAAATTTTATTAATTATTAATTAAAATTTAAAAAATATTATATGATGTATAATTGATAACATTTATTACTTTTTAATAACTTAGGTTTTTTATGTTTTTGGTATTAATTTTTTGGAATCTAGTAACTACATTGAATCTTTATTAATTCGGAATTGAGTCGCGTCGGATCTCGTAAGAGAAAAACTCTTCTAACGTCTATTTTTCTATTTTACAAAATTTAAATTCAAAATTTTATTTAAAGGAAACGAATTCTTTCCATTCAAATCAACAAGTCGTTGATTTTTCTTTTATGTATTTTATGTTTTTTATTGCGGGTCTTCTTTTGGTTTTTACGGGAAAACAACTCAAAATAAAGAATGAGCTTTTAATTGTTTTTAAAATTTTCAAATAAATAAGAAGTTAGATTTTAAATAAAATATTATAAATTATAATATAATTAAATTAAATGAAATTGAGTTTTAATGAGTAATTTATAATTATATTAAATATTAAATGTTATTTATAAAACTTACATTTAAATAATTTTAAAATGATGTTTTTGATTTTATATGTATAAAATTACTATAAATTTATTATAACCTTTTGTAATTTAAAAAAAATATAATCTAAAAACATTACTAAATCTATATATATATATATATCTAAAAATACTATATAATTAAAAAAAAAAAAAAAAACTCTTAACTACAATCTCTAACGCACCCTAACTTTATAACCAAACCACATAGCTGACTGTAAATCTTAGCCTTTTTTTTCTTGTGGTAAATGATTTGCTGCGATAATTGTGGTCGCTAGAAAGACTGGATGGCAAAAGCACGTAAGCTTGTCCGACGACGAATGGAAACTGGTGTCTGCTTTATGTTTATTGAAGAGGAATCGTTGTCGTTGTAGACTTTGGTGTGGACTTCTGAGTTTCTGAGGAACCAAACGTTAGTTGCTTTTGTATTGGGGCGAATAGCAAATGAACACGCATTCAGGAGTGACTTTTGGCTTTCCTTGTCTCAACAACTTGACTTGGCTTGCGGTTTTATACCTAAATTCACGGCGCTAACCTTCTCAACAAAAATCAAAGAAATAAATTTATATTTTTATTCAATTTATATTCAATTTATTTTGTTTATTTTCCTCAATCCAAATATCAAGTAAAGAAAGTTTCATTTCTCACTTCATAGAGACTCAATTTAAAAATATTATTTTTTAATCATTATTTTTAAAAATTAACTATTAATTCAAATTATTTATTTATGTAAATTACATGTTAATTTTTAAGTTAATCTAACTATATAAAATTTTGATTATGAAATTATACAGTTAATAATGTTAAATTTTTGGACAATAATTGGTACACTCTTCGGTTTAACATATTATACAATATATTTTGGTTTAACCATTAAAGTTTGCTTTTAGAAATTTTCCCGCCATGAATTCAAATTTAAAAATAATAATTTTTAAATAAATGTGTTGTAGATGATGTTAAATCAGATAATATATCAATTATTTTTCTTTTTAAAAATATTTATTGGAGATTTGTGTTTTTGAATTGAAACTCGATAGGGTAGGGACTAATTTGCATTATTCTTTAAAAGTAAAATAGAATTTTTTGTATAATATATATAAAGTGTTATTTTTATTATTAATTCCTTAACCCTAGGTTTAGATTTAGGAAAATGAAGAAAAGAAAGGAAAATTTTATTTTTGCAATAATGATTATTTTTACTTATGTCAAAGGCCCAAATACTCATGGCATCTAAAATAAGATAATGATATTTTGCAATTTAACATGTATGAAAATACATCATTATAAACCATAAATGAGTAGAATAATTATATTGTGCTTCACTTATTTGAAAGGTTAAATTTTATAATTCAGTGCAATGTGAATTGCAAAAATTAATTTTTAGTGAAAAAAACTTGAAAATAAAAAAATAATATATTAACAATAAAAAAAATATTTTGTGTATAATTTTATCCATCATGGATAGGGCAAATAGTGAAAAGGATAAAATTAATCAAGAATTCATGGTAAATACTGTAGCGGCGGTCATTTCATTTGAAAAACATAAAATATAAATTAATTAAGGATTAAAAAATTAAGAATGTCCTATCAATTAAAATGTTAAAATTTTTTATAAAATTATTTAAATATCTTTAATGAATTAATATATAATAAATATTTTAAGTATATTTTTTTATCATAAATTTATATTAAAAAGGTAAAAATTGACTTTTAAATTATCAATGTTTAATTAAATTCATCCACTTTGTATCAATACTAAAATTAATGTCAATTGTGATATTTTTTTATATATATTTTTGACAAAAATATATTTTTAAGGTATAACTTAAAAAAACCCTTTAAAAATTTTTATAAAAAATTCTGACATTTTAAATATAAATATAAGGATGTCTTAATTTTTACTATTTTTTAAATAAATAAAACTTAGTAGAAAAATCACATAAAATATATTTGCTAACTTTTAAAATAAAGTCTCAAAGTCATTAAAATTCTCAAATGAGTTTTCAATTTGACAAAAACTATTAGGTGGGTTAAATTAGTCACTATCTTTTAATAATCCTAAAACTTTCAATAGTTTCAAAATGCTTATTATATTTATATATTTCATAAATGTAACAATTTAATAGTGTTAATAGTATTAAATAATAGAGTGATGTCCTCTGATAAATGAATTAATAGTTAAGAACTTAAATTTTAATGTTAAAAATCTCAACTTAGATCTTGAGATAAGTAAAAAAAAAATTTGGGAAAGAAAGAGCTAACCTTTGTTGTATGTCCAATCATCTCACGGACAAAAAAGAATGATTAATTTAAATAATCCAAAATAATGTCTCACAATGCTCATTTTGAAATTAATAGAAGTTTTAGTGTTATTAAAAGATAATGACAGTCCAATTAGAAACTTGTTTGAGAATTTTGAAGATTTTAGTGTCTTATTTCACCATGAAATTTTAAGATCTTAAATACTAATTTGATAAAAGTTAAGGATTTTATTCAAGATTTCATTGTTTTATAATTAAGATTACTTCAAACTATAAAACAAGAATTTTTAGATAAAAGAAAGGAAGTAATGCTAGGGATACAATTTTTTATTCGAACATCTCAATTTTACCACCCAAAATAATCTCAACTGTAAACCAGTTTTTCCTTCATTCAATTCTTGAACCCTTCGTAATAATTAAAAGGATAAATTCTCGTTCAATCCCAACAGAGCCGAGGACAGGCCAAAATCAAATCCCACTGAATTGATTTCATCCTTTTTTTTTTTTCTTTTTTTTTTTTTTTTTACAACGTAAGGGAATACGGAGGAAGGGGTATCAAAAAATTAGAACCAACTTTTTAACCTTTATATATGCACCGTATCCGGTGCAACCAGTGATGCGGATGCATTTCATCCTTGGTTTTTGTTACCGCCGCCTTAAACACAACGTAACCCCCCCTCCAGATATTCAGGCTTGGGCCCGACTTCTGGACTTCAATCAACCCAGCATGGCGGCCGCCTCCTCCTCCTCCTCCGCCTCCTCCTCCTCCTCCTCCTCCTCCACGCTCTCCTCCGCCGTAATCAAGAAAATTGTCCTCTCCTACACCTATGTGGCCATCTGGATCTTCCTTTCCTTCACCGTCATCGTCTACAACAAGTATATCCTCGACCGCAAGATGTACAACTGGCCCCACCCAGTTTCCCTCACCCTCATCCACATGGGCTTCTGCTCCACCCTCGCCGTCCTTCTCGTCCGCGTTTTCCGCCTCGTCGAGCTCCCCGCCGCCATGTCCCTCCGCCTCTACCTCACCTCAGTAGTCCCGATCGGAGCCCTCTATGCCCTCTCTCTCTGGCTTTCCAACTCCGCCTACATCTATCTCTCTGTTTCCTTCATCCAGATGCTCAAAGCCCTCATGCCTGTAGCCGTCTACTCCATCGGCGTCCTCTTCAAGAAAGACTCCTTCCAAAATAACACCATGACCAATATGCTTTCAATCTCCCTCGGCGTCGCCATCGCCGCCTACGGCGAGGCCAAATTCGATACATGGGGAGTCATTTTACAGTTGGGCGCCGTTATTTTTGAGGCCACCAGATTGGTTTTGATCCAAATCCTTCTCACATCCAAAGGAATCAATCTAAACCCAATTACTTCCCTCTATTACGTAGCCCCCTGTTGTTTTGTATTTCTGCTATTTCCATGGGTGGCGATGGAGTTGCCTTTACTCAGGGAAAACTCCAGTTTCCATTTCGATTACTTCATCTTCGGGACGAATTCGCTCTGCGCGTTCGCCTTGAACCTAGCGGTGTTTCTGCTTGTGGGTAAAACGTCCGCGTTAACCATGAACGTCGCCGGCGTGGTCAAGGACTGGTTGCTGATCGCATTTTCCTGGTCGGTGATCAAGGACATGGTCACCCCGATCAATTTGTTCGGGTACGGCCTCGCATTTTTGGGCGTTGCATATTACAATCATTCCAAGTTCGAGGCTCTTAAAGAGAAGGAGGCACAGAGGAGGGCGGAGGAGGTAGACGACGAGGAGGCCGGAAAATTGCTGCAGCCGAGAGAAGGCGAAGGAAATGCAGGGAAGAATTAATTCCAAGGTTAATTTTGATTTACTAGAGTTGTTTCTGTTTTTTTTTTCCCCCATTTTAGAGAAATATATGATGAAAATAATTCTTTAAGAAAAGCACTGAATTACACAACAATATAAATCATTAGATAGGGCTAATGATTTTGAGAGCCATCCTCATTTTCGAAATTATATAAAAAACATTAAGGAAATTCAGAAATCAGATTTGGGGTTTATGGCCATGTATGATATATTGGATATTTGTTTTACCTTCTACTCTAGTTCCAAAAAGAGTCCACCTCAAAAGAAATTCCTAAGAGAGTCTAATTCTTAGAAGTTTTTGTTATTTTATAGTCTTGGCTGTATCAGAATTACATAATAAAAACTTTTTGATGTGAAAGAGTTTATTAAGGGTTTGTCCTTGAATTAAGAATTTTATATTTTATAATTAGATATAGTTTAGATTATAAAATGTATTTTTGTTTTCAAATTAAAGATTTTAATACTATAGACCATGTAGAGATTTTTATCTTATAAAATTTGAAATTTTATTTTATTCCTCCTAATTTGTCATCTTGGTTTGTAATGTGCGATGATTATTGGAAATCAATTTAAATTTATTATATGGTTTGATATTTTAGAGGATTCATTCATTGGCTTGTTTGCATTCTTTTGATTGGGAATGAAAGGGGAAAAACAAAATAATGAGTTATATTGGGGCTAAAGTGGTGAAATTATAGTATGGATAGAGATGAATATGTTTTAAGAAGGATGCATGTGGAGACTCTATAATATTGTTGGAACTAGGAAGACAGGAGTCCCGGCAAGATGTTTATTCTAACTTCGAAATTTAAGAAGAAAAAATTGATGGAATCAATTTTAAACTAAACATATTTGTAAAAATTAATTCTAATTGTGAAATAATTCAAAAATACAATTTTCGCCTACTCAATCCTCTTCAAACTTTTCTCATTGAATATTTTTTCTCAATCCTTTAATTCCTACGTGACAATAAAAAAATTCATATATAAATTACTATTCTTTGTCAAGATTTAATAATATTTTTTCTAACTAATAATTTTGTATTTCTATATAAACCAAAATAAGTAGAAGTACAATTAAGCCATACAATTTTTTGTGTTTTTGAAATTGTATAGATATTATAAGTATATTCCTAACTTGTTATTCTATTCAAGAATTCAACTTCTAGATTTTCTTTCCCAAAATAAGTGTTTGCTATTTCAACAACTAATTGAGTAACTAATTTAACTAGAAGCATTAAATAGAATTGAATAAGTGTAAATTAAAATTGAATTTAACTAAAAATTTAAAGATTCATGGTTTGGATCCAATTGAAACCTTAGAAAAGATAATTTAGTTCATAATTAAATATAGAAATCAATAGTAAAGAAAATCTTATTTTCAACAAAAAATGGAGACAGAACTCAAAATTGATCAATATCACTGCTAAAGAATTCCTATTCTTTGCCGGAGTTCCTCCTCGTCTTTGCTGCTAATCTTCCCCTTCTTTGCTGGAAATCCTCCCTTCTCGAAAAGCTACAACCTCTTCTTTTTCTCTTCCTATTCTCTTCAAAACTTTGTAATTGTCCTCACATTTCTTGTTAAATTTGCATGCTCCATATAATATTTTTTATTTATTTTTTTCACTTAATTGTATAGATTTCGAAGGATTTAATAAGATTTGAGTGAAGAAATTTTGGAAAGGAGTTAGGGACAATCCCTTGCTGCTGTAGGCTTCCGAAAAGAATCCAAAACCCCCAATTTAAGTGCTCTAACGCTCAAAATGATGCGCTGGATGTTGCCAGAGCGGTCGACTTCCTAAAAGAGGTGCCGATGCTGTCACCCAGTTTCTTAGTAAAACGTCGGTGTTGACTTTTGGGCTCTAACGCAAATTTTCTTTCTTCATTGGTAAAACTGTTCAAATCTCTCGTCTTTTAACAAGTCGACACTTTTGGTTTTTATAGTTTTAATTTTTTTAGTTTGGTCTTAAAAATTTTGATTTCTTGCAATTTAGTCCTTATCTATAAAAAATGATTAAATATGTGTAAAATTAAATAAAATAAGACTTAAACAACTCGAAAAGCTAAAACTTAAGATTAAAAGGCATGCCAAAATTGTATAAAATTTAAACTTATTAATTTTCTAACATACGCTACCCATAGAACACTGGTTAAAAGTACTCTTTGTCACAAATATGTATAGAAAAATAAAAAAATTAATATTAATTTTAATATTGTTATCAATTGGATAAATTTAATTGAATAATTAATAAATTAAAGATTAACTTTTATTTTTTTAATATAAATTTAAAACAAAAAAGTATGTTTATTATATTCCTAATCTATATTCTAAGAATATAGGTTAAAAAAATCTCTTATTAGATTTTCAGAGATTATAATAGAATTTTGGCTATTTTTTTCTTAATTCGTGGCTGTTTTATTATAATTTTTAACAATAAAACTTATGTTATATATTTTTTAAAATCGTAAAGGGGACATAGGGTTTACTCTTCTTTTTTTATTTTTTTTTTCAGTAAAGAAAATTTTTATTAATTGTGAGTAAGGAATTTCCAACCCTTAACATCTTTCTAACTCTGTTGTCTTATAAATGGATATAAGATTATAAGGATTTTTTAATTTGTGTTTTAATAACATAGATTAATAGTGTATTTATTGTATATTTTTTTATTAATTGTTGTAAAATAAAATAAATATTGACCTTAACATTATCAATTGCTTAATTAAAAGCATTCACGTGGCATTAGTGTTGAAATTGAAATTAACTTTTTTTTTTCTTTTCAATGCTAATTAGTGAAGAAAATGAAATGAATGTACTCTTAATCTGTGTGGTATAAATTAAAAAACCTTAAGATTATATTCAATTAAGAGTTTCATGTTTCGCATAATAAAAATGCAGTTTAACACTAAAATGATTAAAATATCATTAATAAATTAATATAACAGAATTTTATTAAGAGTATTTTAATAAATTTATGAATTCAACTACATTGTTATTATGCAGTCTGACCGAAAAACACTTGGTTGAATATTTGAATTGATGCACTCCCTACTATATGATTTCGCCACAGCATCTAGGAATAGGATGGGATTTAGACACCAGTCATGCGAGGGTTCGATTGTGAGTTCAGTTAATATTAGGCAAAAAAACATCACAGGAAGTTGAAGAGGGGGAGATTGGTTCAATTGTGTGTTCAGAGTCTCTCCCCTCCACAAGCTCTTCATTTCATTTGTTTCAAGATTTTTCCAACAAGTAAACAGCAAGTTCTAAGCACTTTCTTCTGACGAATAATGATTGTCACCTACAATCTGTTTACCTTCTCTAGCATTTCCTCTGTAATTTTTAGCACAAACAAGAAACATGCACATGTTCACGAAGGACAAAAGACCTACAAGTCCATAGAAATAATCCAATCTACCATCATTGATCCTAGGAGCCAGCCATATTTGGCTGCCTACTCTTCCAGTAAACGTCTTCACAACTGCAACCAAAATAATAGTCCCAAACATTCCCATTGCGGATGTTGTGTGAAAGAGACCACTCCCTATTGCTTTCATCCCTTTAGGGGACTCAGTTACGAAGAAATCAAGCTGGCCGGAGTAGGTGAAGGCCTCTGCAATGCCAATAAAGATGAATTGTGGAAGCAACCAGAAAGCACTTATTGGAAGGCTTTCTCCGATGCCTCCTGTCGCTCTAACAACTAACAATCTTCTTGCCTCTACCAATGACGCTGTCACCATTCCTAATATTGAAAAGAAGAGCCCTATCCCTATCTTCTGCAAATTTGTTAGACCTAAAGAATATATATTCCGATTAATCCTCTTTAGATTTGTGTTTGATAAAAGAAAGCATATGTTAACTACTCATACAGATATCTACCTTGTGGTTTTTTGGATTTCCAGAAGAGCAGCCTAATCAGCTTGTCATAGATAGCCAGAGATAGAATCCCAGAGAGAATCAAGAAAATAGCAAAAGAACCTACCGGCGTTTGGAAAATTTTTCCCAATGATCTGTCCATAGTTACAGCTTGTTGCATTGAGAAACTGTATATCTGTGCATATACAGTCCAAAACATGATTGTTGTTGCCCAAATCGGCATTAATCCACTCAACTTTTTCACTTCCTCTACTTTTGTCACCGTAGAGAGTCTCCATGGATTTGGAGAAATCATAATTTCTTCCATTCCACCATCCTTTTCAGTAATTATTGCAGCTTTGTCCAAAAACCTGTAGCTAATGATCATCAGATCGATCAAGTGTCAATGTTTAGAACGAAATCTTAATTATCAAATACATACCGGAGCCTATTTGTGATTGGAAGCCTCAACTCTTCTGGGGCATTCTCGTATAAGAATCTTTCAGAAGAGGGACATTTAATATTACACTTCTGTGTGGCAGCCACCAAGACTTGAAGAATTTGAAGAATGGGGTTGCCTTCCTGTTCTCGATACCTGTACCTTTTAGTCCCTGATGCAAACAAAAAGAAGGCTCCTAGCATTGCAGCCGAGCAACAACCATATCCCCATCGTTTACCAATATGGTCCAGTACATAAGCAAGAACAGTGACAGCTAGCAGGGATCCGATGTTGATGATCAGGAAAAACCTGTCAAAGAAATCTTCCTTTCGTTGCTTCTCCTTTCGGTTCGTTATGTCAAATTGGCTTGCTCCAAATGGTGAAACACTTGATTTAACACCTCCAATTCCTATTGCATTCATGTACAAAGCTGCATAGAAGACACCCATTTGGAAATTGTTGGCCTCTTTGCATGTGTTCGGCAAAGCAGGGTTGCAAGGAGAAGGGTGGAGCTGTGGCAGGGTTGTGACAATTGCTAGCAAGCCAGTGTCCTATTTCACGACCGGATTAATTTCATTTTTTTCATGTCTCGAACAATGCAAATAATAGTCTTTAATTTCGCTAATGGGACAGAAGTAAATACCAAGGCATTAATCACAGAAAAAATGGTAATTGACCAACAATGGCCTAAGAAAGAATCGTTAATTATGCCACCAACCAAGCATAGAAGGTATGATGCGCCTCCAAAGAATGAAAGAACATTCGATGCAGTTGCACTGGGTAGATGCATTGTTCCCACTAAGTATGTCACTAAGTTTGTCGCAATGGCAATGGTTGCCAGTCTCTCACAAGCCTCAATACCTAAAAGAAAATGTTTCAAATGAATTAGTAGTTTTGTGTTTTCTTTCAAAACGTTCAATTTTGGTCTTTCATTCTTAATATTGAAAAAGGTATATTTATTTCTTTACTTTCAGTGATTATTGAAATAAATTTTAATAATTTTTTAAGATAAAATTTTTATTATACTTCCAAATAAAATGAAATTAATTCTTTTATAGTTTCAGTTAAAATAAATAAATTAAAACTTAACAAATGATGTAATCATAACTCATAAGTTACCTTTTTTACTTTCCCTTCGATAGCTGTTAAGCTCTTGATAATTAGGCAATCCTATGCCCTTTTTTGAAATGACATGACAATTTTTTTTTATCAAACTATTTAATAAGAGGGAGTTAACCTATCTTATTTAATTACCTATAAAAAAATTATTATTTGATAGATTTTAATTAATTTATTTCAACCAAAACTAGTGAGAACTTAGTGAGTATTGAGGGAAAAGATGGAATGATTGCCATCTATTAAATTTTGATTAATTTATTTTAATTAGAGCGTAGGGCTAATTTGATGGCAAAAAAAAAAAAAAAAGTGTAGGGCTAATTTCAATATTCAACCAGAAAGCAAGATGGGAGATTTGTTTTAAGAAAAAATAGAGGGGTTCATTTCAATAACTACCGAAAGTAAGGGAGTTACGCTATACCCTCTTCGCCAAAATATTATGAAGCGGATGATAACCGTATTTTATTGAAATATATATAAGTATGGTAGTATGCATTAGTTTTGATTTAAAAGAATTAAAATTATAATATATATATATATATATTTCAAAATTAAAATTTTAATTTAAAATTTAAAAAGTTATTTTATTAAAAATTTACAATTAAATTTTAATTAAATAAAATAATTCAATTTAAAATTAAAACTTTAAATTATTTTAAAAATCAAAAGCCATATATATTTTTATATATATAAATATATATATATATATATATATAGAAAAGCCAATTCCTTAAAAAATTTAAAAGAGAAGAGTTTTAAAATTATATTATTTTAATAAAAAAACTAAA